CGGCATATAGAGCTGGGGAATGTCTCATTATAATCAGAAATGTGCGCGCTACAATTATATCTTATTTAAAAATGTTTTGGTTATATTTTAAAATTTCTGAAAAACTGGTTTTCTAGAAAACTGGGTCTTCAAGAAACATTGAGAAAAATACTTTATGTCACTAGAATCAGCTCGTCGAGCTCTACAAACTGGGATATCTCCCACTCGAAACAGTAATTCACACTTGGGGACCTTCCCTCGTAAGATCGCAGCAAGATTGAAACGGGATCCAGACAAGATCAGGCAAAGGAAAAATTTTCTCAAGATCTTGTCGCGAATTACCCACGATCTTGCTATAATCCTGTCGCGATTCCGTCACACTCTTGAATCACAAATCGAGCGGTATCACATAATGAACTTGATCAAGAACGCGATTACAATTATAAGATCGTGATTTTATTTTGCCAAGATCAGCATTTATTCGTTACACGGGAAAACATCGCGTTTGCGGTCAGATCTCAGGAAGAATGGAACGGGAATACCACCAAATTTATCACTCATATGAATAATAAAAGACTCATAACTGAATGTTTATTACTTGTGACATTTTGAACCTAAGTAAGCAAACATTGAGTACTTTTGAACTTTCACTGGTTTTATACTAAAAATAAATCCAGATAAAAGTTTTTAGTCTCATTACATCAACTAAAATTAAAATTTAGAATAATGCTTAAGAGTATTTGAACAAACATGATGATGTATGATGTTTTATATGTTTATTTTTTAATATTGATCTTGTTCAATATATTGACGATCATTTTCTTGAAAAGGCCGAAGAGTTGAGTGCAACAAGAAAATGTCATTTATATTTTACCGAAAAACCATTCATATCCGATCGAAACAACTCTTCTTTATTTATTACATTCATTAGTTCAATCAATATTTAACACACATTTTTGACTTTAGATTATTCAACTTCCTTCCCTTTCAGGTGTTTGCTGTCTCATATATTATTGAAACTACTGCCTGAACGGCACAAGAAAAAAAAAAGAACATGTACTGTTAAAATAAAATTCTTCGTCTGAAGTAAAAAAAAAAAAAACGAAGAAGAGAGGATTCATATAGTGACCTATATTCCATTGAACATTAACCGGGATTATAATCACAATCTCTATATTACTTTTGACATCCAAGCTTTTTCTTCTCCATTTTTTGTGCCATTGTAACCAAACGGCTGTAGAAACAAAAACATTTTCAGCGACTTTTCTCTTTTAAAAGTAAACACAATTAGTTTACATTACTTATGTAATTCCAGGTAATTGCACACCTCTATTTTTTAAACCAACAAAGAAGCATGTCTGAAATTCTCTCAATCATATTTTTCAACAAATAAAAAAAAAAAAAAATTGTCAATTCTGTCTTTTTCTCTCGCATAATTCAAGCCACATGTCGATAGACTCTACATCTGAACTCTCTTTTGTTTCTCTTTCGATAAATTTTTTTTTCTCTCGTCATTTTTTTTTCTGTCATAAATTGTTTATTTAAAGTTTATTTTATATAGTTTCTCTTGTTTTAGAAGGTCAGAAATAACGTTGTGATTCAAACGAACAGAAGTAATTCTCGGTAAAAAGAAAACAAATAACAATGAAAATTTAATGAAATAGAATAAAAAAGGTGAGTAACAGAAAAAGTATATCATTTTGTTCTTTATTATAGTGATCGAGGAAATACAAAGATTAATTGTAATCATAATTATTACCTTATATAGATTATTATTCAAGGAAAAGAATGAGTGATTTTTTCCAGGTATAATCAAATAAAAAACATATTTGTAGAAAACTTTTCATTCTTTTCTATATTGAAAAGCTATCATGACTATAATAGAGTACGAATGTGATATCTATGACGAGAATTTAAACGTGTATCATGGTATCATGGTTTTAAAAATAAATCAAAATCTTCTTAATAAAGATGTCTAATTGATGTCAATTTTTAAAATCTATTCTGTTTACATAATAAAAAAAAATCGAATTTTCAATTTTTAATCGAAAAATGGCAAAAATCTTCTGATTTCTACACAAAAGAAACTTCTATTTTATGAAACAAATTTTCTTTTCTTTCTCATAATCATAACAATAAGGTATAGTTCAGACAAAACTGTGTGGATGACTTTCTTTGAACCTTTTTTCAATGATTTACCGAAAAAAAAATATCGACATTTTGTGAGAGAAAAAAAAAGTAAAAGTTTTCTTTTCAAAAGATTTACTGTTTAGATTAGGTACTTGTATCAACTATAAGTGTCCTACATGAAATGATATTTAGAAAAATCAACATCATTAAAATTGATAACTGTGCAAATTATGTTCCATTTAATTGTGAAAAGTTTTATGTCCAATTCTTACAAACATAATTATTCAGGTATTGTTTATTTTAGCATGAACGATTCTGAATCGGTAAAAAGTGATGATGGTTTAAAAACAAAGGACTCAATTCGATGTTTAGTCGTTGGAGATGGATTTGTTGGTGAGAAAATTTTGAATCTAAAAGACTTTTTCATTTGTAAAAACTTTTAATTTTTATAGGAAAAACATCTTTATTACATGTTTATGTTAATGGTAGGTTGGTAAATTTATTTTCTTAAAAGATGATGTCTTTTTTGTCTTTTATCATAATTCTCTCTCTATATAGGCACATTTCCAGAAACTTACGAGCCAACTGTATTCGATAATTATGCGGTTTCAGTTAAACATCGTAAAAAATTGTATAATATGGAACTTTACGATTCTGCGGGTAATTCGACTACATTCTTCTCAACAAACTATGAATAGCTCTTTTTAAGCATTTCTACACAAAAATTCGTCTCTATATGAATATTAAGCTTGCAAAAATTTGGGTAGTAAATTATTCAGTTTAAGAGTACAAACTCCTAGTTTAATGGTACTATTGTCTCTTTGATAGTCAACACTAAAGTTAGCTGAGTTTTTTTTTTAAAAAGTAAGTAGAGCGTATTAACGACTAAGACGAGTCTTCTTATCTCCAGATCTTAAAAGTCATTTTTTCTATAAGGTCAAGAAGAATGGGATCAATTGAGAATGATGATGTATCCTCAAACAAATGTATTTCTTGTTTGTTATTCATGTGTTCAACCAGCTAGTTTTGATAATGTTGAAAAAAAATGGATACCTGAACTTCGACAATATTCACCGAAAGCACTAATTATACTTGTTTGTACAATGATCGATCTACGTAGTAATCGCGAACACATTGAACGTTTAAAAACTATTGAAAAAAGTCATCCAGTTACTCAACAAGAAGGCATGAATTTAGCACGAAAAACAAATTGTGATGGTTTTATTGAATGTTCATCCATCATACAATTTAATGTCAATGATATTTTTACAACTGTTGTTAGTTTATTTCATAAAAAGCGTTATCATCGTGGACAAAAAAAATTATCATCATCATCGCAACATCGAAAATTACGTAATCCATGTAGAACTATTTGTTGTTGCACAAATGTTAAACGGTCAAATATGGGTGATGAATGAGTTTTAATTGTTCTTACTTATTTTTATTTCATTTTAAGTATTTGTTTTTAATTTTTATAAAATCAAAATGAGAAATATACACTTTTTATTTAATTTTGATTTTATTCATTGATGAATATTGTTTTGTTCATTGATATTTGTTGTCCGGTGAAACATTTTTTACTGTCATTTTTACATGTTTGTTATTATTTATGTATGTGTCAAGTTTAATTTTAAAATAATTATTCTTCATCCGTTGTCCAAATGAAGGTTTTTAAAGCGTTTATATGTGTTTTTAAGATATGTCAAATAGTTGAAAATTATTTTTGAAGGAAATTTTTTTTGTAGTATGTCATTCGACTCAATGGATTAGAAGTTCAAATAATTTTAATGAAAAATCAATAAGTCATCACTGAAACACACAAAAAACAAATAAGATGAATATCATCAAAACAGTTTGACAAAATAACTTTTTTGTTTTTTAAAGAAATAGACCATACAAAAACGAACAAAATGTCTAAAATGAAGGAAAAAAAGAGTAAAAGAAGAGAAGAAAAAAAAAGAGCACTGTTCATATTTAAAATTCATATTCTGTAAATGACTGTATTTCATATTTTAGAATTGAATCTAATAAAAATTCGGGTGCAACATAAATAACATTTGTTTTTCGCCATTTTTTTCCATTTAGTTGTTTTAAATTATTTACGTATTCTTCACCACATAATATAATACTAGCATTATCTGAATTTGTTTCATAGATTGCACCACTCAGATGAATAAGTTCAATTAACTCTTGTCTATCAAACATATTTTGACAATCATCACAATGAATTGCAATTGAATATTTTTTATGAGAAAATATGGGTTGTTGATGATTAAGACGAGACTGTTGCATTCCACGATGAGACGTTGATAATATTGAATCACCAGTTATTTCAAAATTATCTTCTTTTATTATAACTTTTTGTTTTAAACATTCATCAATCCAACGATAGGAAACAATGAACAAATGACGAGCAACAGCTTGAAATACTTTCTTAGTTAATGTACAAACTAATGTGTCATTTTCATCATCAGTTATTAAATGTGTTGTTCTTTCATCAACAGTAGACGAAATACTAGCGTTAAATTCTTGTAAAAATCGACCAAGCTGAATCTTAACGAGAAAAAGTTTATATATTCGAATTATTATATATTTATTTATAATTACCAATTGATCTCGATTTAACGAAGTTCGGGCAATAACAATCGATCGATAAGTTTTTTGTTCATCTATATTTTTTTCAACAATTGATTCGATGAGATCACTAGACTAAAAATAGAAATAAAATTTAAAGATTTTTTTATACGAATCAAATGTGTCCATAGACTAATCACATTAAATTTAGGACTTGAATGATGAGTTGATGATGTATGTCGATGACCTACAATACAAAAATATATTCTTTTCTTTCTAATATGAAATGGTTAATAACAAATAATTACCTGTTGATAATGAATGATTTGATCTATGCCGTCTTTGTGATTCAATATACCGTCTTTCATCCTCGAAATGACGTTGACATAATGAGTGAGTTGTCGCTATTTGAGAGCAATGTACATGTCTACAAAGGTTTCGCGAATATTTTGATGTATGCCCGGATGTTCTTAAATCACGTTTTTTCGACATGGAATCATGAACTCGACTTGTTTTAGACATTGTCTGATATCTATAAATTGTACAATAAAGAAATATTTTAGAAAAACACATCAGACAATTATCCAATGAAATTTAGTTTTACAATTTACTACAAACAACGTGTTTGTATATTCGAAAATTATCTCTTTTCTAGTCATAAATAAAAAAGCTTGAGTTTCTAGTTACTGAAAATCTAAATTGATGTGTTCGAGTCCGTATTCGTACAAAACTATTTTTTAATAGTTAAAGAATCTATAATGGCTTTATTTTCGCTTGTATTTTGCAAGAATAAGGGTTAAAATTAATCATTCACTATTGATAAGAAAATTGAAATGAAAATATGAGCACCGGTTGAGTCTTCGTTTGAGTACTAAGTCATTGGAAAGATCTTGAGGATAAGAGTAGTGATAGAAAAAAACTTTACTTAGCGTTTCTTAACTCATACCGAAGTTCTAAATTTGTAAATGATATTCTTCCAGAAGGTCAACAATACACAACGTTTATACTGTAGGATAAAGTGATATGAATCTTTAATATATTTTCCTATCTCAATATAATAATCGTGTACGATCCACATAAACTATTTTATATCAAACAAAAGACTTGTGTATAACTGAATACACAGGACATCGAATACAATAAAAAAACAAAATTTTGATTGAATTTGAACTTGCATACATGCAATAATCATTTATATGACTTATCGTTTACACACTTATTATTTAACAATATCTTCACAATTACAAAAGTGGGCAGTAAACTACAATAAGACCAAAAAAATAGTATATTTTCATTGCTATATATACATACATTCATTAAAGTAAAGTTAAGATATGAGTACTGATATTGAAAGATTCGAACTACTTGTATGACTATAACTTAATGTCGATATATTTTGTACATTTATAAATGGATTACGACTAATTAAAATATCATCACGACCTTGAGTATTTTTCATGTACAATTTATTTTCATTACAATTAATTAACATACAATAAAATGCTGATGGTAAATCGAGCATATTCAAATGAAGATTTTGATTTTCAAATAAATTAGCACAAACTTGAACAAATTCAACCGGTTTATTATTATCATCTGATGTTCCATTCATATGACTAATTGAACTTATATTATTGGAGGAGGATTGATCCGTACTATTGATTGTTTGTGATTGACGATGAATTTCGTCTAACATTTCACGTTTTAATTGTTTAACATCTAAACGCTGTACACGTTTAGCATATTCAATTCGTTCATAATAAATAGGACGATCAACAACATAAACATGATCATCTTGAGATGCTTGAATACCTGCAATAAAATACAAATTTGTGCTGTTGATGATAGTTTTTTTCTAATAAGGTAGTTTCTGTACTAATGCGATTCCTCAATAGTTTAAGTTGATTAAATAATCCAAGAGTCATCTGTCAAAGAATGACAGTTTACCTTTTAGAGTTGCACAAACTGAAATCAAAAGAAGAAAACTCGAACTACTTCGTCGAGTTTAGTTCTGATTTGAATCTACTACTCTGTACTATATCAACAATTAGTGAGACCAAATTACCTACCATCGTATTGTACAAAGCCAGCTGGCAAATCAATATCGTCTCCATCATGCTCGCCGTCATTAACCATATTAAAATCATTTTCATCATCAGTATCATTTAATTTTTCTAAACGTTGTTTTTTGTTCATTATCATTGTTTGAAATGATTCAAATATTAAATCTGGAAAATTAGTTGGACACGACAAATCAGTCGTTTTAACTAATTTTCTTGCCAGTTTTATTTCAGTACTTTGTTTTTCTCTTGAACGTAATACTATCCTTTTCATTGATGTTTCTTTAGATCGAACCCCAAGTATACGATTTAATGAACCATCCATGAAAAAATCACATTTTTCTTGAAGTCGCCGTCGACTATTCGAACCACTTCTTTGACTTTCACCACTATCAAATCGTAAACGACGTTTTATTGCTGTTACTGGCGCTTGCGCTTGATGATGAATGACTTGTTTTGAATTACCATCTAGAAGATTTTGATATTTCCATACATTGGGACCTGCGAATAGTTTGAGTTTTGATGCATCAAAAAAACTATACTCTTGATCGCCTTTCAGTTTCAGCAGATAGGGCAGTTGATCGGCAAATGACATCGAACTCAAGGATGACGTTGATAATCGATCATCGTTAATAAAGTGAGTTGGTAAAGTTGGAGGATTAGGCATATTTAATCTTTCATCATCGTATAATGGTGGAAAATTCCCATTCATCTAAATCATTCTAAGTATAATAGAATAGAATATGTGAAGATGTTATTACGGGACTACTTTTTTCAAAATAAAAAACTATATTTTTGTCTTTTACTTAGAAAGCTACCAACTACGTAAGAAAAGAATCTGTATGAGAATTTTTCATGATCCAGAGGGGGTATTTTGATCTTTGTCCGCTTAGTCAGTAGCATCTCAAAAGAGAGCAAATAACGTTCAAGTCTTTGCTATAAACTTACTGGTAATGATTGTGATGATTGACTTTCTCCATGATTCGTTGATGGCTCCGGTCGAGCGTCAGAAAGCATTCCAGCCATAAATACATCATGTGAATTTTCATCAAAAAATCCATCTTTATGGTCAATATCGTCGATTACATCATTGTTATCATCAGCAATCATGTCTTCCTCTTCATCACCGAGTCGAGAATCTGCTACAGAACTTTCATGAATTGTATTGATAAATGAATCTGTTCGATTTTCATTAAATGTAAAACTACGTAATTTTTGTGATCCTAATATATGGTCAATATTTTCATATGGTTTAATTATATCTCTCAAATATTTCAGATCATAGTCTTTTTCCAACGATATTTGATATCGATTTACCGCTTTTCCATCATTTTCTTGCTCATTTAAATTCGTGATTGAAAACCCTTCAATTGTTGCATAATCACTTGTGGAGTACATATGTGCAACAAATTCCTTATGAATTGAATTTTGTTCCGTTGTATTCGAGCGACACAAAGATGTTGTTTGTAGTGGTCGAAATTGAAATTCATCAGTCAAACTTATTTTTGATAAATCATCAATAATAATTTTTGTGGCATTTTTACGACGAATAATTTTTTGTTTCGTTGGTTCAATATTTTCTTGATTTTGGTTATTATCACCATCATCTGCGTCGACACCTAATAATCTACATTGTTCATTTCCATCGTCCGTTGTTAACATATCACCACTTAATTTTTGTGTTTCATTATGTAATGCATCAACACGACAAGCATAAATTTTTGCACTTGTATCAATAACATTACCGGCTTTAACAAAATTGGGTCCGTTTTCTTTTTTTTTATCTTCTAATGCTATATTGTTCAATATTTGTGGAAGATATTCAATAAAACGAAATTCAAATGCATTTTTTGCTGTTATTTTTCCTTGTGCATTTAATTCAGATGTTTTTTGATACAATGCTACTAATTCCGATGAAGATTTTTGTGGTTCATCAATATCGATATTAAAACTTGTGTTAAATAAACGAGATTTACGACGATTATTATCATTCACAGTAGTTGGTGATTCTGATTCCGGATTTTGTAATGATTCATCGAGATGCATTCGTGTTGACCGTCGACTAGCATGTAGTGACCTTAACAATAGGGATAAACAACATGTAAAGGTAACACACGATGCAGAGAAAACAAATTTTTTTACATACCGTCGTCCGCATTGTCTAGGTGGTGGAGGTTCAACAAGAGTGGCCATAATTTATTTTTCTAAATATATTATGAGAAAACCTAACGAGTCAAAAAAGCTTGTAAAAAATGGCAATGACATCTCCGCAACACCAGAAACAGAAGACAGAATTTTTTGCCTTCTTTCCGTATTCAGAAATACTTCCGGATCTTCAGCATTCTCACGCGATCTAAGCAGTAGCATCCAAGTTCTTAACACTTATAAGTAAGCTCAAAAAGACACATGATTTTTCCTTTCCCTTTTAGTAATCGTCTATCACTATGATTTTTATACCTTCGAACTACCTGATAAAATAAGACAGAAAATTTCTGTACGTAATCTCAACGAGAAGGAACAGATGATTAAGCTCAACAGTACCTTCAGAGACAGAACAAAGAAACAAACATAACTTCTTTTCGCAAAAAAAATGTTAACTGCTGCGACAAAGCGACTGGAACTGTCTTTGTTCGCCTGAGAAGGATAGCGACCAATGCCGATTATCCAATCTAGGTTTCACTATTAATGCACTTTATCCAAAATATCATATTACGTCAATAGAGATGTTGCTTTGAGAACGAAGAAAGGGATGGCTCCTTTTGTGATAGAGATACAGCCAATTGGGAAGCAATTAACGAGTGTCAGAAACAGAAGAAGAACTAACGAAAGCATTGAAAAAAGAACAGGAATCGGAAATATATAAATAATTTCTTAAAAAATTCTATCACCGAATAAAGCTAAACTTCAAGAATACATTATTTCTATTTTCTTACCTTCTGCTCTTTTATTTTCGATTGATAGAGCAACTGAATCAAATAAAAATAGTTGCAATAACAAAGCATGATTTAGATGCAACACGTATTATTGATCACAGCTAGTGAGTTCATTATGTTTGATCTATTTACTGTTTAATTAATCGACGAGTTTTTGTGTTTTGGGTTGTAGACTATATAAATACACTAAGAAACTAAAAAGCAGTTTTACTTAGTATGTAGATTTGATTTGGAAGATTCTTCTTTGATGAATGCCGCAAGAATTCCTGCACTATAAAAAATAACGGAAAAAATGTGATATCGACGAAACAAATCCCCGAGAATGAATATTACGTTGCTCATGGAAATCTTTTCATCTAGTGGCAGACCGACCAAGCTTGGAACTACCTATGCCCCAAATATTTCAAAAATTCATCTTATGCCATGAGAGAGAATCGCTTTTGAAAAGTGACGTTTTCGTCTAAAGTTGGTACTTTCGATGTAGTTTTTATTTGAACGGAAATGAATTAGAAGCTTACACGTTCAGCTGCTGAAGTACTCGAGGTCCTTTATCTAATGGAGTTTTCAAAATTTTCTAAAATGTTTCATTTCGATGCAGCATGATTAAATTTTACAACATTTTAAATTTCCTTTCACTCAGGACAAAATGCCGGCTCAGTTGTTCAGTATAGTAAAAACCGATATAAAAAGATTAAAATTTTAACAAAAAAGAGATAGTTTCTCTTTAAGTACAGTTTATGAATCTGTTTAATTTTTTAAATGTAAATTTGTATTCTAAACGGTTTAATAAACAAAAATTCGATTTTATTGGCGGCCATTACTTTAGAACTTCGTAGACTGCTTATGAATAAAACTGAGTCTAATGCTTTACAAATAAATAAAAGGAGAGAGCATCTACCGCGTTATTAGAATAAAATAACTGAATGGAAAACACATCATTAAGGGTAACCCTTCCCTTTTTTCATCTTGTTGCCAGATGCGAAGCATACGTCCGATTGAGCTCAATTTATAGTAGAGATAGAACATTGGAAAAGAAAATCGATATATTTTTGCCCATAATTTTCTGACATGTTCTTTTATAGGTTTTCTGGAAAACTCTAGTGCTCATCTATTCACATTACGGCCTCCCGAAAAACTGGTCCAATCGAGCTCAAATTTTTACCACAGATACTTTAGACCTTATCTCAGGATGTAAATTTTTCTTTTCGAAAAATTCTAAAAATCCATTCATAACTTTTTCAAGGAAGTTCATAGAGAGCTGGGAGTGGTCTCATTTTATAGCCCAGACTTTCTTCTACATCAGACTACGTTTAACTCAAAATGAAAGATTTTTTGCAAAAAAGAGGGAGTATCCTTAAGTAAAAAGAAGGAAAATCTTCAATTGTAATGATACGCAATGTCTATAACGCGACAGGAAAGACAACAAAAATTGCCGCTAAAAACGTTTAAAGTCACGTTTTCTGATGATTTCACAGAAAAAAACATTTTTTTAACTTTACAGATGTTGAACGCAACAGAAAGAAATGTGATATTGCAAAAAAACTACGTTTTTATCGTGACATCATCAAGGATTTCATGTGACTTTTTTTTGCCAGTGCGAACATTTCTATTTTCTTCGTGTACTCTAAAAACGTTGTGCGTACATTTGCGATTCTTGTGGTGAAATCCAATCGTTAAATGGAACAATTATTGATAATATGCTATTTTTTAGCAAATAAAAGCAAACGGGAGTTGAGTTATTCAAGTATTGTAATAAGTAGAGATTATAGTTTTATATTTTCTTTGTCATATATACGCTAATCTTCTTTAAAAAATGTCAACTTAAACGTGTTAATTACTTTTACTTTCTTCTCACATTGTCTTTTTGATAGTACACATTTTTAATATAATTGAAAACAAGAAATTTGTTAATATTAATTCAAGATTCAACGAATAGTGATGCAAAAAGAATTTTGACATACGAATAATGAAGTTAGTGTAGAGCGATAGTAGGTTTATACAGAATAAACAAAATTAAAAAATTCTTCTTTGAACATTTACTTTTATCGCTCTAGATTGGTGATGAAATAATTATTGAAAAACTAGTAAAATTAAAAATTATACCACTATAATATCATCAAAAAAGACAGGAAATATTATCATTTTTTTGTAATCCTCATACACAATTAAATTTTATCCAAAATATATTAGATAGAAAATGAATTTGTTTTTAAACCTATCCTCGTAGTATTTCGTTCATGATTGAGTACAAGGTATGATTATTCTTTTCGATAGCTGGATAATCTGAACAATTTTTTTACTGAGCAATATAAAAATTATCTAGTGATTCTCATACTTATCTGTAATTGAAATACAAAGAATCTCATTCGCTTTTTCCTAATCTGTTATATTGTGTGCTTGTTTTCTAGAAAATGATATCAAATTGAAAGTTATTCTTCTTTACTTCAAATAAACTGTAGAATTTTTACTTTCACGTCCCGTATAATTTATCTCATTATGAAATACATTATTTTGTAGAAAAAAAATAAAGAACGTTTAAATTTCAACACTGTGTTTAGTACGAACAGAATGCTGTGATCAGACAGTTTAACAATGTTTCCTCGCTATGAAACGTTTGAATCAACATTGCTGTAAAGAATTAAGTCTTAAGTACAACCTATAACAATCTTTTTCGAAAGCACTAGAAAGAAAAATAGTTAACACAGCATGTAAAAACAACGAACAAGCATTTTATGACGTCTTTTGACGTTTAGCATTTGACAGGTTTGGACTTTTTTTCATGGCTGTATCACTACTTTCATCACCATTTGACTGTGATACTTGTGGTGGTTTATCATTTGTATTTATAGATGGCCAGTTTTGAATCCAATTGATAAGATATTCAAGATTTCGCTGATAATCTTTTTCATCATTATTTCGTAGTTCATGTACAATATTTTGATCAAATGACTCGTTTGCTTCATCTAAACAAACCTGAAATATTTCTGATTGAATATTTTGATCAATTTTCTTTGTTGAATAATTTCGTTGTTGTAAACGGTAGTATAAAACATCATTGTCTGTACGTAAAACAAAAATACCTTGAATTTGACCATCATCCGGTATAATTTCTGGTGCAAAAAAAGAAAAGAAATTACATTGGCGGTTTGTGAAACATGTTTCACTTCTGTACCTGCACTATGATAATCAATAACTAACCCGGATTCTTTCAATCGAAAATATTTTTCTTCTAAGAAATCTTGTACACGTTCATCATCTAATACTTGACATTCATTATCGTCATCATATTCAATGTACAAGCTTTTCTCTTGAGCTATATCGTTAATGTTTATATATCGTAATTCTGGACATTTCTGACACAGATCTTGACATAAACGGGATTTACCAACACCTAAATTCTTCGAAACATGATTGAGTAATCAATTTCAAGAGCTATATTCTCTGCTTTGGAAAAAAACTCACCAGGTGTACCGCAAATGATAATATTGGGTCGATCCATTGTAGAAAAAATACGATCTTGAACGATATTAAATGAATCGTGAGTAAAGCTAGCTTTGCGCGATTTATTTTAATAAGTGGTATACTTCAGTTTATTAGTAACGCTCTCCAAACGTTTTTCTGTATTATCAACAATACAAAACTCATACAGTAAAAGAATCGGATGGAACCTTTAACAGAATATATTTAGCTCTAAATATTTGAATGAATGCGTAAACAAAGAAGAGACATTTTATATCAGTTAAAAATTCACATATACAACATCAATACATCTTAACTTAATAGTAGAATCAACTAATTAAGCAAGATGCAATCCAAAAAATTTTATAGAAAACGTGGATACATATGCCACTTATGCACTTCCGGTGTGAGGCGTTACCATCAGCGCTTGGTATGTTGAAATTAACATTTTGTTTTGATCATAAGCCTGCCCTTTTCTTTTTAAAGTTCTATGTAGTGTCATAAAGGTTGAGTCTGCAGTTACGAATAAATGAAGAGCCTCGACAGTAGTTCGAAGATACTATAGTAACGGTTACAGATATGGTGGACATTATTATTTTGACTAGTTAAATTGATCATTAATTTTCCTAATCTTCTGAGCCGTATATACTAAAGTAATAACCGAATTTATAGCTGAATCTTCGTTACGTAGGATTATGCACTAAGAATTTATCATAAACTTCGATATTTAATGGATCATTCGCTAAGCATACAAAATTTTGATCTAGACATCTTGATCTGAGAAACTCACAAAATAGAGATGTTGACATGAACGCCCTCTCAGCTTGGCTTATAGTAGAATTTTTAGTTATCTTAAACATGAACATGAAAAACATACAATTTCACCAACCAATGAAATAGTATGTTGCTTCTTTTTTCTATAATTGAATTCTGCCACTAAAAGATTTAATATATGCAATTTCACTCTTTCTCAAATATCGGTTACTATACATGTAAACCATAAAATTTTCGATTTCAAACGGTACATATATAGATTGTTTGTTTAATGCTCAACACATATTTCTAAAACAACATTTCGTTCAAGTGTATCATATATCACTCTTATTGAGATAAAAATTTGTGAGAAAAAAGGAACAAAAATGATTTTACATCCACTAATTTGGATATGTAACAGGATTGGATATACATGGGAATAAAATGCATACTTTTTTGCGATAAAGTCTCAAGTATTCTAATAGAATATCGTCAATGTGTGAAAGAGATGTTTAAGGTTGAACTTTAAGTAAAAAAAGTAATGCTGTTAAAAAGTTCGTTGTGATGCTTATATCATACATTTTAGAAATTTTAAACTTTAACTTTGCCCATAAACTCGAAAAACGTTATCATACATTTTGATTTTAGATTAATAAATCTATGTAACAAATATTTAAGGATGCAAACGTTTTTTGAAGGTTGGAAATAATGTTGGTTATCCTCAAATATCTTTAATTTATAAGCCAGTTTAATATAAAATTATGTTAAGCAATGATAGCACCGATTCTGACGAAGGAAGTAGTAGTGATTCCGAAGAAGAAATTGACGATGACAATGAACATACAAGTTCAATAAAGCGAAGTAAAATGGAATATAAAACGCTCAATATTGGTAGTAGGAATCGTCAACAATCTGATAGTGATGTATTAGAACGACCGAGTGACAATGAAAGCAGCGATAACGAAGATCAAGAAAATGAGAATGAAGAAGAATATCAACGTTCATTATTCCACAGAAATAGAAACGATACACAAAAATCAAACGAACGGCTGCAACCCTATTATAGTCGGACGCTGGGAAGATATAATGATTCTTCTGTTCTTGATCCTGTTGAAAGTTTTGAGGAGCGTAGCCCAAGAAAATCAGTATCAGCAACGAAATCAATTAGTCATGATGAAGCAACATTGCTAGACATTATGAAGAAGCCGAATGAAAGATATAAGGTGCGTTAATGTGTTTTTCTCTATTTCTCTGTAAACCGGTTATACTATGTCTGTTCTTGTTCCATTCAAAGAACTAATATTTACTTTTTAGTACTATACGAATATAGATGATGAACCAAATGCTGCTGAAACTGAGTATGATGAATTCTATCGAACCAAATCTGTTGATCCATCTACAGATACCCAAAGCAAATCCGCTGATTTCTCAGCTTGGATAAATCGATTTCAATCATTGCCTGACTTAGACGCAAGTTTTGAATTAAATCATACAGCATTTCGAGAAAATATACCGTCATCACCATTAGGTTCACCAAAAATGATCTCAGGGAGTAGGATAGATACAATAACAACAATAATTAATGGTGCTTCTCAACAAGCTAAAAGCTCTCCAGTCAAACAACAGCAGCAATCAAAAATTCCAATACGGCCACCGTCTTTATCACAATCAAGATCAAGATCAAGATCGCCTTCTCATAGTCCAACCACTCGAAAAAAAACAATGAACGATGCAAACAATGCAGATAGGACCATAAGGTATTTTTAACATTTCCACTTTTTATTCAGATTTCTATTGGATGCATGGCGTAGATACAATAGGAAGAATGATCTAATGGAGTTTAAGAGAGGCATAGCGTTCGCATTGTGCGGATGTAACAAAATGAATCTATTTTTTTAGACGTCAAACATCTCCTACGTCAAAAATACCTGTTTTGATCAAAACACAACAACAACCACCTATTGAAAAAGTGTTTCCAAAAAATGATTTACCTGTTACCGAAAAAGGCGCATTTCATTTCTTTACATCGAATGAAAAATTAAACGATGAGCCCATTGTGTCAAATATATTCGAAAAAGATGAGACTCACAACAAAGAACAAAATTCTAAAGTAACAGCATCATCATTTCTTCCCATTAATCATAAAAAAACAGCAGTAGAAACCAAACAATCAACTAATTCCACAGCATATCGTTTTCCTACTAGAAATGCCATATCTGCCAATGGATCTTATAAATCAAAAACTACAACCAACGTTACGACAGATTTAACAATGATCGATCCAAGACGATTGACAAGCCAACAATATTCGTTGGATGATAGTGATGATACGTTGAGTATTGAAAATGAATCCGCAACTGAATTAGTAATGAAATTGAAAGAAGAAAAACGACATTGTAAAAAAACCGTGACCATCTTAAATCAATTACATGAAAATTATGGTCAGTTATTAGAGAAATATGCTCAAGCTGAAAATACGATCGATCAACTACGTTTTCAACCCAAACTGTACGATAACAGTACACCCCCAGCAAATACAATCGAGGTAAGCGATGTATACAGCGAGGCTTAAATTATTATTATTATTTTTCTATTTGCAGGGTTCAATGCATTTTATACATCAAAAAGAATCTCACACATTTCCATCAAAATTAACTCCAAATAGTGTTACGTCATTATCTATCCGTCAGGTGACATCGTCAACAGCAACGGCAAAAACCGGTATGTATTATTCACATATGCATGTTTTGTTCATTTTGAATATATACGAAAGGTGTTTGGTGTTGAATACAGCAATACAAATACGTTACAAAATGTTCTGGATTTGATTGCTCATATGTTAGCTTCACAGCCGTTTACTGTAAATACTCACCGTTCATAGTTTTGTAATTTTATGAATAAAACTCGTTGAGAGTTTTTAGGTAACTCAAAAAGTTTTGATACATATCATTCTCATCATCTGAAAAAAATTGCTTGTGATGATTCGAATATACTCCCAATCCAAAAAAGATTTAAAGTAAAAGTAAGATTCAGTTTAAAATAAAGTTTCTGCCTTTTCAGATGAAATCCGTGGTGAAACTTCTTGTATCAGAGATCTCGTAAACAGAAATTTTAAGATCTAGGCTGCATGTGGACACGATATTTTAAGGTCTTAGATGGAAACTTTTTATACATTTGCTTGTCGTATATAGGAGCCATAGACATCAGATCGTATGTGATTGTTGACTCAGATTTGAACAGCTGTGCCAAAAAAAGGCCAGTTTTTGACATATATACTGATAGTTTCACCTTTGCGAAGAATTTGAGAAAAGCGACAGCGATCAAGTTTTGTCACATCAACCTACTAGTTTATCCTACGTCCAACTTCAACAGTTAGTTCGAGGCTCCCAGGCCATTAAACTGGCAATGCTCGACCATATCCGTCTCGGAAATCAACCAGAGTCAGCCGGTTACGGCAGCCGGAATCGAGAAACCAAGTTTCCGATGATTTAAAGTGTATCTCGTGTGTTTCCGGCACGGATCCAGCCGAAAATTGACCGGATTCGGCTGCTGGAAATACCGACTCTTCGATCACAATACATAGCATCAATAGCAACGCATGCGGAAGGAGGGAGAGGATTTAAACTACATCTTTGAACTGCATCTTTTTCGGTAATAGGCGGACAATTTTTGAAGGACACTTCTTCAACAGGTTGTTGAGTAAAACTTTGATAACGGGTGAGCCATAAAGAATGTCGGTTTCAGTATTTCGTTAATATTTTGCTTAGTTTTTATTATCGAGGCTTTAACTTTTTTTTATAAGATTCATCGTTTCATTCTCTATAAAAAACATATTGAACAATCTTTTATATACGGCAGAAATAAAGGAAGGTAGATGAAATACTGCGACGCTTCAATTTCCATTACTTTCTAACCTAGAAAACAGTTTTTCAATTCTAGCTCTTTGTATTTTGCGATTCAGAATAAGAGAAGATGACCGTTTTGTAGCCCTTGAAAAGCTCTACCAATTGGCTATGTTTAAAACTCTTCATAATCGCAATTCGTTGCGGAAGAAATTTTTTACTTATATCGATCGATTTTATCAAAAATCGCTGTTTTCAAACTGCAGTTTTCGTGGCATTTGCAAAAATTTTTATAAATCGGTCAAAATCAAATATTTTGAGATCCGGTATGTCTTATCTTAAAGCAGATTAATTCTTCTGTTTAGAGATGTGCACGGATACCATTTCGTACCCGACCCGTACCCAAATTATGCCTAAAAATCTTCTTTTTATTTTCCAGTTAAAAACTTTTGTTTTTCGCTGAAGATGTCAAATTATCATTACGTTCTTAAGTAATTCGTTTTTAAACCTTCATGTATCTAGCTAAACTTCTGTATTTTTTCACTAAAATTTTGTGGGTTTTCCACTAGAACTTTCCGGTTTTCGGGTAAATTAAAAAAAAACAGTACCCGTACCCGTAAGTGCTCTATCCGTACCCGAATAACTTCGTACCCGTACCCAACCTTCGGGTCGAGTCGGACTGCACATCTCTAGTTCTGTTACATCCAAACAGAGGAAGTTCGATAGCTCCATTTCATTTCCACTGACAAGGCAAAAATGTGGAAATTTCCCTTCTTTTTGGTAAACTTGGTATTTTATATCAGAAAAACATGTTCAAAGACAACCTCTGATACAAGAAAGGCGACACTTCGTGGCACCAGCACATACGTTTTGATTCTCGTTTGTTGCATAGCTTCATGTTCAAAATAAATATATTTTCGTTGTGTTTGGGGTTAGAAAGTAATGGAAATTAAAGTTTCGCAGCATTTCATCTACCTTCCTTTATGTCTTCTGTATATAAAAAAAATGTTTAATATGTTTTTTATACAGAATGAAACGACGAATCTTTTTAAAAATGTCAAAGCCTTGACAATAGAAACTAAGCGAAATATTAACGAAATACTGAAACCGACATTCTTTATGGCTCACCCGTTAGTTTTTTCGGTCTCTAGTGCTTTACTTAGTTATATCGACATATGGTTATGAGGATTTAGAGATGTACAGATTTTTGCTCATGTATTATTTTGCCAGCAGGACTTTTAAAATTCTCTACGAACGTCAAACGGTTCTTAAGTCATTTTTGAAGTTATTCTAAGGATCAAAATGTTCGTATATGTAAACAAGAGTGTAAAACAAAACGATGATTTCAGAATTATCAAGATCTTGAACGAGATTCTTATAAAAAAGAACTTCAAGAAGTCAAGATCTTAGTTACAAGAAGCTCTACTAGGAATTAAGAAATCAATCGTTTCGTTCGTAAAATAATTTCAACTCGATTATGTTTACTGCGTAAACTCAACGATATAAATTGAATCGACTTACTCTATGCATTTGACAAGTAAGTTTTCAAGTAGTTGCTTTTCAAAAATAATTTAAATTCTACATCTACTTGAGTTCAACTCATATTAAGTTCAACTCAGCTGAGAAAATGTTTTTCTTATTCATATGAAAAAATGTGTCAATCTTACTTAATTAAGTTCTTACAGATCTGACATAAAATTACGTTTATGTCAAATAACTAAAAATTTTGTACATAGTTTTCTATTCTCATTGTCAATTTATTTTTACGTTTCTAACCTTACGGCATTAAAAAAAAATTGAAACTTGTGTTGTTTCGTGTGTCTGGTTATGAAGAAGAAATCAAAATGAATTTTTTTCCTTATTCAACAATTTCAGCATCTGTTATGATTTCATTTTCAATAACCTTCAGATAAAATAGTATTCAATATTTTTGACATGTCAGAATAAAATTTATGATAAAATTATATGATATTATGACTATTATTATTATTATTATTATTGAAAAAGAGATATAATTATGTTTCTTTGGTCAGTGAAAGTTATGATTAATTTTATGCAATAATTATCAGAGCTATATCGATGGTCGAAGATTGTGAAAAAATTCCTCAGGCATAAAAAAATTGGCCCTAAAACGCGTTTTTTTCCCGTTTTTAACGATCAAAACACACGTTAAATATTTCATTTGAAACGAAGAAAAACGCTTTAAAAGTCTTTTGAATACCTTAGAAACGCGTTACTTTTGCGTTAAAAACGTACAAGAAAGGCGTTTTCAAACGTTCTAGAACGCGTTCCGTAAAGCGTTTCAGATGAAACATTTAACGCGTTTTTTGATCATTAAAAGCGGAATAAAAACGCGTTACTGGATCGAGTCTGCAACACCTGAATCGTTCTAGAATTTTCGTTAAGCCAAAGGTGAGACTTGGCTACCCAATGGGACTTGATCTAAAAATAGTGGAAATCTATAATAAAAGAAGTACAAAACTGATGATCTAAAACTGTAAAAGAATGAAAAGACGACGACATTTCTTCGATATTTCGATTGTGTTTATATACTCGGCTGACTGCAAAACAAGACAGTGAATGATTAGTTGCATTTTTCAACCGTTAAAAACGGAATAAAAACGCGTGAGAACGGAAAATGAAACGCGCTTCTGTTGCAGACTCGATCCGGTAACGCGTTTTTATTCCACTTTTAATGATCAAAAAACGCGTTAAATGTTTCATCTGAAACGCTTTACGGAACGCGTTCTAGAACGTTTGAAAACGCCTTTCTTGTACGTTTTTAACGCAAAAGTAACGCGTTTCTAAGATGTTCAAAAGACTGCTTTAACGCGTTTACACGCGTTGTATCCCATAGCAAACGCGTGGAAACGGATCAAAAAACGAGAGTTTCGTAATGTGTTTTTAAAAAACGCGTTTTTTTTTTGCCGTTACTAACGAATTTTGTGCCTGGGTCCAGAACACGTTATTATTATTATTAAATATGAACACATTTTTAATAAAGGTTATGAAAAAGAGAATCTAAAGGCCCATTAAAAATTTTTCATTTGTTGATAGTTTGACTCAGTGAACAATTGAAAATTTATTTTTCAAGTGTTAACTTTATGATCTCAATGATTTTTGTGGTTATAAATCCATGTATTTTCATTTGACGAATTCATAATACTTAACCTTCACATCATGAATATCATGTATTATACGAGAAATTAGGCTTTTTTTTGTTGTCGAAGCCTGTTATTACTATTTAACAGATATTATAGCTCATTTCTTGTTTATTGAACAGATGACATTGGCTATGTATGGTTTTAAGTTTATTAATACTGTTTGGCAAATAGTTAAATTAGTTTTTTCATTGATAGAAACAAAATCTATCATATATAAAATGTAGATTTTATTGAAAAATAATTGAATTTAAACGAGTAAATATCTTGATGTATAACCTTTGAGATCCTACGTTCTTTTATGTGTTCAACGGTTATAGTCATTCTTCATTTATTAAAACTCGTTATTCTTCTGAAAGAAGAGTTATTCAGAATTCGTCACATAAACGATGTAAGTAAAAATATCTTAGTTTGGAAGTAGAGCTTGATTACTTTTTAAACTGAAAGGAATTTGATTCTGATGGTTCACAAACGACAATTGATTGCATAACTACTCTACAATAAAATGTGTAAAAGCATCTACTTGAAGTGGTGCGATAATTTAACTTCTCAAATGAAAAAAAAACCTTACAATAACCTCAAAATGATATAACAAGATCGTATAGAGAAGAATATATCAAGAACTTACTTTTTTTTCGTTTGCATACGCTGTGTCATTTTGAATTAAAAATCTATAAAGCTAAAAAGACATGCATCCTGTGCATATCTTTCACATAATTGGTATATACGAACGCGAAGTGCAGAAAGAATGCTATATAGCTAATCATATTCAAAAATACACTCAGAAGTTGTTATATATTCATATTTTTATTTTTCCATATGTAGTATTTTGTCTTTTCAGCGCGATCATCGTCGTACATAGAAAACGATTGTACGGCGTTTTATCGAGAATGAATAGTGTATCAAACAGAATCTTTATTATGATCTCAGAATTGTCTAATCACCTGGGTAGCAAGCATATCAGTGAGGATGAGCGAGCGGTAGTTTGTCGTTGATAACAATGAATCCCTACTTGCTGTAGTAACATTAAGTCTCTTCGTACTCACTTTGCTATCTCGAATGAATCTATAAAATTGATACAATTCTTATTCTCATTGTTCAATGTTCTCATTTTGATTTGTTTTAGATACTTCTCCAAATTCGGCTACAATTGAAGGTGATTATACTAGTTCCGTATTTTTCGATGAAGCTGTACCTCAACGTATTATTGTGCAAGAATTATCCACACCAGAAACAATCAAATTAGATTTATTAATTCAAACAAAAACTCTTGGTGAAAAAGTAAATTACGACGTCAAAAGTGACTGCACTCTTTAATTTTGTCTCTTGTCTTGACATTTTATGTACTTGTAGATGCGATCATTCTTAACATTAATGGATGCGAATCAGCTCAGTTTAACAGAACAAAAACAAGTCTATGAAAGTATAAAGCAAGATTATGAGAAATTGTTAAAAACGTTGAATAATGCGAAAAATTCGGATGGAATACGGCGATTAAGTAGTGGAAGTGATTTACAAGATATTGATCTTGATACGTATGTATATCGTTACATATTTCAAATGTACACTCAAAAACTCGTGCCTCGCTAGCTAAAAAGGGGCACTTTGATGGATGATGAATGTGACACTTTAAGTGTCCTGCTCCGAGCACTTCATGTATACAAGTATGTTTCACCGAAAAGAAGTGCTCCTCTACGGGGTACTTTAAGCGCTCCATTCATCGTCCGAAGAGTACTTGTTTTTTCACAGTATACTTCTTAATGACAAGCATGATTCTTATCAAAAATCATGTGAAATTTTGTCAAAATTTTATATTAGATATGTCTGTTCTACTTTAAAAAGTCAAAGTTCTTATTTACAAAGGACCAGGACGGATAAGATCCTTTCCTGGCCCAAAACATTTTCAGGTTTTCTGCATTGGAACCATGTCAGGAGATGGTCAGGAACATTCTCATACACTTAGTTTAGCGAAATCTCTCGGTCAGGTTTTTGAGGCCTGAGGTTCTCTTCAGAATTTCTGGAAAACTTTTCATTTTTGATGTTTTCCAAACCTACCTGTTATATGTAACCGACCATGCTGATCATGAATATCCATATTAGAAGTGTCAAAAATGGTTTGGTAATCTTCAATTTACCTTAATTTTCTTGTTGTCTGCCAAAAAGGGTATTTCGATGCTCTCTAGCCGAGGAAGCAACGAAAAACTAAAATCGATAGTGATTCGACTGTAGAATTTTACACTGAATCCAAATATGAAATTAGAAGAATTACGAAAGCTCAAACGTTTTTGAAAATCAGCAAAAACTGGTGAAAATTGTGTTGTTTGACGGTATTCGCCCAAGATTACCCAGTCAGCAACCTTGTTGCAGGGCCAGTATTGTATACAATATGTAACTTTTGATGCTCTATCCGATGATGCTGAAAACGAACCGAAAAGAATTGTGGAACAGGTCTCGAGAGGATCTCCAGAAAATCTTTCCAAGATCTTTCGACGTTTTCAATCAAAGAATATCGCTATCGTGTTCAGCACCATCGAAAACCTAGTTGCATGTGTCTTGCATCACTTTTAACGTCAAAAGATCTTGGAAAGGTTTTAAGCCTCAAAAATCTGACCAAGGGATTTCGCGAAACTAAGTATCTGGGAATGTTCTCGAGCATCTCCTGCCATGGTTCCAATGCAGAAAACCTGAAAATGTTTGGGCCAGGAAAGGGTCTTATCCGTCCTGGTCCTTTGTCGTTTCGTTTCTAAAAAATGTGTGTATAATCATTATTTTTGTTTTATTAGAGATTTAAATAGTGAACTTGAAACAATGAAGCAATTACTGAAAGAAATAGTTAAACGAATAACAGAAAATTTATTGGGAAAAGCAAGTAGTGAATCAGAAGGTGCCAATGGGATATCAGCGAGAGGAAGCCAGTCAGTATGTATTATTATTGGGCAATTCTTTTCTTTGATTCTTTATTTCATATTTTGCATTGATAGAGTGCAATGTCAACACGTTCATCATTGATCAATCATGGTGAATTAATGGATCAATATCAAAAATTATTGAATGCTGTTAATGCGTCTGATCGTAAAGGAGAAATGAAAAGTTTGTTGGACGGGCTAGATCATGTCTCGGGCAAATTACGAAAGGCGTAAGGGATTTGATCTTGAAATAGAATTTCTAGTTTCAATAATGATTTCGTTTTCAGTATGTCTCAAAGCTCGTATAATTCACCAAGATCCGAAATTTCACATACAGAAAAGAACACTCGTCAAACAACTAAACCTTATATCTGTACTTCTGGAGTATGTATCAAAAGTAACTCTGATGGATATATATATTGTAGTTTCTAATAATCTGTTTTAGAATTCGGATGATGAACAATGTAGTACACCGGAACGAGAAGGAACATTAAGACGTATGGAATCTGCATCATTCGGATTAGAAAATGTTGACTTACAGAACAGTATAAGTCGTGTTGAACGTATGAATCAAGCCGATGAACAACGTCAGCATGTACGTGGAACAACAAGCAAACATGTATCAATGGATGGTCAAACGCCAAAGAAACGACAGAAAAAAGGGGTGGATAATAGACAAAATACACTTGTTCATGATAAAAAAAGAACACAATATGAAGAGGAAGAAGAGGCATACAACAGTTTAGATGATTTATCACGAACGAGAAGACAACCGGTGAGACGTACACCGATTGGAGAACCATACAACAGAGAGGAAAGAAGTCCAACGTCAAATAACAAATACAATCAAAAGGTAAGTCTTGTACGATTGAAATCCATAACAACATCATATGCTCTCTAACATCCACTAACCGTTAGTTTTCTATTGACAGTGTATCCTTCGAACAAATATAGTAGTTAACTGTAGAATCAGTTTTCATACGAAATTTTTAGTAGATTTCGAGAGACGAACTAATGAGCTTTTCAAACAAATTTTGAGAATTATAGCAGCCGAGTATTCGTAACGTATTCGTTCATGTATTCTCTATTCTCCAATGTACAACTTTCTATCCTGTATTTACTAAATTCAGTCGATGACTTGTCGAATGGAAATAACATTAAAGAGTATGAACAGTTATAATGCAGTTTTGTTTTTATTGTGTCTTTTACATAAAAATTTTTCATCTTTCATAGTTTGTTTTACTTGATAATGACCGGTTAAGGTCGAAATATCGTGAATAAAAATAAAAGAATGATCTCATTTTACTCGGCTGCTATAAATCTCAAAATTAGATTTCGAGAGATCTTTTAGATATGTGATTGTTTTGTAGCCATTATGATTTGAGTATAAATATCTAACTTTTAAACAGTTCGACTTCGATGTTTTTGTACTCCCTTCAGAAACTATGCATGAAATGTTACTGATGTTAGTCAAAGTTGCAGCTTGTTAACCTAAATCCGGTTACTGAAATATAGCCGAAATTGATCTCATAGAAGTCTGTCACTATCTGTCAGAACAGAACTGTGACTATCGTCTATTCACTGTTTTTTCAAAGAAATCCTTAACTTGCTGACTATAAAACTGTTTCCGTATACACCTTTGTCTAATGCACTCTTGCTTAGAGACTTGATAGTCATTGATAAGCTCAGTTGTTTAAAAATGCCGACAATGGCATCCTCAGTTTGGAGAGAAGGAAAAAACTGTCCCAAATGTTCTGTTTTGCTTTTTGGCTACTAAAAAATTCTAATCTTTCAGCTCAAAATAAAATCATATAAAAGGAGAGAGATTTTTGACGTAAAAATTTATCTAATTTTTGAAGATAAAACCTTTTAGAACTGATAAAAAATCATAATAAATCTCCTTCATTAAAATTCTTCTGCCACATACAAGATATCTAGGAGATATTATCTATCAAACTGTTTAAAAGTGACTTTTCTCTATTTGATTCATAATGAAAAATACCGTCATACTCGTAAAACTACGTTGTATTCGAATTTTTACCGAATTTTAGAATGTTTAAATGTTTCTAAACAGCCGTTCTTCAGAATTAGCGTATATGTGGAAAATTCGAATAAATTGGAGATAAACGTGTCTCTAGGAAACTGCTAGCTACTGTCACAAAATTTCCAGTTAATTAAAACTAGAGATAGAGTTCAAATGCTACAGATGAACTTAGTTTTTTTTCTATTACGTAGGTAAAATTACATTAGATATGCAATTTTAGTTTTTAAACAGACAATATTTTGTTACGTAACTTTATACCTAAACAAGAAGAAACTAGAGTCCTGCGGATTTGAGATTTTCGACCCCGATCTCGATCCGGTCTCTTGGACTGAAAAACCCGTCCCGAACCCGCTCGAATCTGAAATATTTTTTTTCTAGTGAAGTAGTGCTCTCTTCCATTTTAACATTAGTAAATTTCTACTCGTAGACGTACAAAAATAAGATCCACTTAGTCGGTTGTACGGCTAGTTATTTAAAATTGTCTCTTATCTCCCTTAATATGAAACTAGAAGAATCGGGATCGGAAACAAACCGATGCCGTTCAGATGAACTGAAACCCGTCCCGAACTCGTAAAAAAGCTTTCTGAATCGGGATCGGGTTAAACCTGCAGGGCTCTAGAAGAAATCCAATTACCGGATCAGTTAGGTGTATAATGCAGAAAAAAAGAGAGAATTTTACTCTGTGTAACGAAGAAATATGTGGCTTTGTAAAAAAATGAATTCACATCCACTCCTTCTAAGTCACTGTTTAGAAAGAAAGATAGAATTTTTTTTTGTGCCAATGTTTATCTGAAAAGTTTTATTGTGTGTGTGTGTGTATAGAGAAATAAGCATGAAGTGAACAAAAGCAGTACATCACCAACAATGTCAAGATGGCGGGGTGCACGTACTAGTGATCATGACAGTGGAATTGGAAGTGTTGCTAACACAACAAAACTGAGTCGAGAAACATTTTTGCAAGATCGGTAAGATTGACTATTACTAATTCGATGAAGAAAGATGTGTGAATTGTTCTTCTCACTCTAGAAGTACAACTGATAATCTAGACGAAAGTATTGAATATTATCAAACAAACAAATCTACCGATGATGAATTGTTTCATTCTTCATCGCATACAAAAGAGTTAATACCACATCAAAATTTATTGTCAAAAACTAGATCACCAGGGCTAAAAAAGAAATCACGATATCAATCATTAACAGATTTAACAAAAGAAGCAAGAAAATATTATCATTCAGATAATGGACGAAAGTATCCAAAAAAAATAAAATCACCGGCAAAAAGATCCAATTCTGTCAATATCTATCTGTCAAATACCGATGATGAAGAAGGTTAGAATGTCATATTTGTTATTATTATATCCTTCTAAAAAATCATATTTAGATACGTTTTCTACTTGTTCTCATCTCCTGAAAGCGATTCTGATGTCTAAATTATTCATTTTTATATTCAAGGACTTCATTCTGTCACATCCTCACGATCGAGTGGATCAGGCGCCGAAAGTTCAGATTCGCTTTACTACCACCAGTAAGTGTCAATTATTTATTTAAATGTATTTTTATAAATCATTCATGAAGTATTTAAATTTAAATCAAAACAAAATAAACGAAAAAGTTCAATTTAAAATATAAATGGCTCGTATTTTGTTTGTAATTGATGGAGTCATTGAAGTACTGTTTTACCTTTTATTCTGGTTAAAAGTGTCGTGTTGCGGTATTTTATTTCAAAATAATCAAACATTGATTTTTTTTGATTTTTCTTCTTCAAACAGTGAATATTCAAAACATGGCAAAAATGGTTTTACAAGACAATCGAGAAAATATTCAACATCAAGTAAAGCCTTAAGACATGAAAGCGATTTTGATGATAACAATTTATATCGAAGAAAACCAAGTGGACATTCAGGTACAATAAATAGTATATCTTATACTTAGTCCTCTAGAATTTAACGTTCTGTTCGACATGCTAGAAAGACAAAAATGATAACTCATACTATTTTTTGTGATGGAGTGAGATGTCAATGATTTGTTTTCGACTAGTTTTCACTGATTTCTAAGTCGAATTGTATAATTTTGTTTTCTGGTTTAGACTTAAATCAGTCAGATATTGAAACACGCATCACAGGTTCCTTTGAAAATCTACATGATTCGAATGAACTTTATCATAAGGATCATTTGAGTTATTTACATTGGGCACCTAGTCGTCAGTCGTCTAAAAATCGTTTACATCGCCAAGTACTAGCAAAACATCTTCGACGTAGCCATTCAGATCAAAACATACCATTGAATAAAATACCACCAACGTCCTATTATTATCGCCCGCAAACAGCACCATCAAGTGATAGATACGTGAATATGGGTCGTCAGCGTCAGTCAAGTGATAGACGTCAACAACAACACACATATAGCTCTTTTTATGATGATAATCGATCAAGAAAATCGGTTAGTTTTCCACCAACATCAATTTACAGTTCGTCTCGTAGTCCACCAAATTTACAAAATAATAACAGAATATCAACTAGTATTCCATCGACTACAAGTCAAGCTACTTTTGTCACAAAGAATCCGACTTCAGTTGATATAGATCAAAGATGTGTTCATCGTTCACCATTAGTTAATACAGCGCAAATGTATCAGCAACCGTTGCGACATCAAGTCCTTTCGCAACCAATTCCTTACTCGATTCGCCAAGAGAAACCAATACCTTCAACATCGAATGGTACATTGTACTTAGATTCCAAAACAGGCATAATCTAGTACGTATCTCATTATGTTTGAAATAGAGTAGAAAAAACAAATTTTTGTTAATGATTAAAAGCTGTTGTACTATACTCTCGTTTTTAATAACTACATTATTTTCTCTCGAATATATCGTTCATCACAAACCCTTCGATTGAGAGAATCCTAAAAGGTTTTTCAGTCAGCATGTTTTGATAGGCTGATGTTCAACTGGCTAAATTGTTTCCATTTAGTCGTTATGTAACAAATGAAAACATTACACCAGTCAATAATCAGATTAATCCTAAACTAATACCATTGGTAACGTCAGATATAAATACACAAAAGCCATTATCTCGTTGCACTTTATGTGGAAGTTCAACTTATCATAATCATTCTCAACAACAGTAAGATATTTTTACTGTTTGTTATTGTTGGTTATTCTGACGACGTTTCTTTTTTAGAACTATTTTATCACCAACATATCAATCACAGCGAAATAATCGATCTACTAATGGACTTGACGATGGATATGAAAGTGAAGAACGGTGAGTAGTGATTTAATTTCTCGGCAAATGTATCAGTGATGATATATAGTGTAGCCAATAATTCTCCCTTATTTTTCACACCTCTTAGAATTTGTACGCTTTTATTGCTTTATTGTAGAAAAAACCATCATCATGGTAACCGTCGACGAGTCGCTGTTCATGGCGTTTTATATGAATCCCATGATAACAGTTATGAGTCTTCCAGTGACGCTGATCTGGTAATATTTTTCGTCTTTTGTGCATGTAAACAATAACAGTAGAGATCAATCACGATCTCTAGGCTTCCCATGCAGATCACTAAACAAGAGACAGAGACAGTTGTCGCACAAAAGTAGTTGTACTACCTATTACCTATTTCTCAGATAAGATAATAAAAGAACAGCGATACTATTTCTAGCTTATATTTTTTTCTTTAGAATGATATTGATTATGAAGCACTGGATGAAACCTATGAAAGAGCTCGTATAGTTCAAAATCGATCGCACAATTTATCGCGATACATTAGTAGACAAATTAAACTTGTATTAACGTCATAAAAATGTAAAACATTCAACTGACGACAATATAAGTGGTATTAAGTTGAGCACTTGTGACAGATTAAAGTTAACTTGCAGTTACATATCGAATTTGCTACTGCCCACTTACATATGTAGAAACATTTATTATGTAACGCGCGTTCATTTTTTTCTCATTCTCAATTTCTCACCTGTTATGTGTTATTTTTCTAGATACGACTTTTTCGTGATATTTACTGTTTTTTTGTTGCATGTTATCTTAGAAAATAAATTTTTTACATTTTTTTCCAATGTACCAGGTAAATGGAATAGAAAAAATGTTTTAGACCGTGTTTTTTGCAGATTATAATACAAATTAGAGCCACAACACATAAGTGGTATTGTCAAACATTTCGTTTCCGTAAACACTGAGCGTATTCTCCAAAATATGTAGTATTTTTTGTCGATAACAAAGATTGTCTGGTCCGATTGGTAAGAAATGAAATCGATTTTAAATAAATGGCGAATACCTTAATCTCCTGAATTTGTATTTTACTGTTTACTCACCAAGATACCACATTCTTCTCTTCTTATATGATTAGCAGCGAACTTCTTAAATTATTTCAGACCTTTAGTTTCCATTTATTCAGATATGCTAAAATACAGCAATCAAATCCAAAGTAAAGGAGTTGAGCTTATCTGTTTTGTTGCCTTACCTTCTATCTTGAAGATGTAACATTCTCTCGTTTTCTTATGATGTACGAGAACTTCCGCTAGAGTATACTTACTTTGGATTCAGGCTGTTCTGTAGAAGAGATACGCATTAGTTTAGCCAAAAAAATGTAATTTTGCTAGGTTTTTGATTGAACGTTTTATGCACTATGCAACATAAACTTGTCTACAAGCATAGCTACGTTTGTTTGTTAAAATTAAACACAAACCATTTTTTAATAAACAAGATCAAGTTTAAAAAAAAGAAAAATAATATCTTCACCAAATGCTAAAGAAATTATTAACATAATGGTCGATGATAAAAACAACCGTATCAAGTTAAAAATGAAAAAAGTAACATCGAACTAGAAACAATCAATGAATGTGTCAATAATTTATGTTTACCATCGAAATATGATGATGCTCATAAAAAGAGTCGCATAAAACAAAGAATTAAGATGAATAAGCCGATGTCAATATTTACTAAGAAAATGAATCGCAACGATCACAATGTTGTTGATCAAAAAGCAGAATTAAACGAACAATTACTGTTATCAAACATAGCACAACTGTTATCATGTCACAAAGGAGATTAAGTGATTTATAATCATGGATTAAAATACGAAGTATTTTTAATTTCAAAAACAAATGAGTTTAGCTCAACAAAACATTCTAAATAAATCAGTCATCATAGTTCAGGTAATCATTTATTCATCTAACAATGATTTTAATGGTTATGGTATGTCATTTACAAAGTTTGACCATACAATGTGATTGATGAATTGAAAAAATTCTTATAATTAAGTAATAAAGTCTTTCAGACATTGTTTAGTTTTTGTCACTTTTTACTAAATTATGCGAAAAATAACAACAGTATGATAAATATCCTACTCTGTCTATTTTATCCTACTATACTTAATGATCTATTATTTTAATCAGTTAACCCTGAATTTTCCATAACATCTGTTTGAAACTTCTCTAAAATGTAGCCCATCTCGATTGTTCGATTAATCTTATTCGATTTCCTCATTGAAATACAAATATTTGCTCAAGTCAATTAATCATTTGGTGTCGTTTGTTCAAGATTAATCAAACGTTGTTGTTGCTGTTGATAGCTACTGATCGTTTTCAATATTGTTGTATCTTTAATTAAGGCTTCTTTACATGTTGGCTTCAATGTAACTAATTGTATTCGATTTGTTTTTGTTTTGTATTTGGATCAATTGCATAATAATGGACAATTATTAGATTAATTTGTGTTGCTTCTTCAACGGCTAATAATTGTTTAGTTACACAATGTAGTATAATACGTTTTGTTTGAACATACAAAATACTACGTTTAATGATACCGACTAATATCACCAAAACAGTTTTTTCTAATCGTTTTTGTATATTTTGGCTTATTAGACAAACACGCCATTTTTTTCTTAAAGAATCTCTTTTTTTGTCTTGATGTGTTTTTGTAGTGGTCAGAAGATTCTGAAATGAAAAAACACAATATCCAAATGATCAAAAACGATATTGCTAATGGCCTATTCCACGTTGTATAACTTGAGCTATTTTATGGTAAAAAAAATGGTCTGTTTACGGTTTTCTTTAAAAAATATTTTTTCATCGTTAACGAATATATTCATCGTCATATATTTGAAAATGAAAAGTGTATAACGTATAATTAGAAGTGTAACTGTTGCAGTTCTTCTGCATTTGAACTAATAGATAATACCGATTCTTCTCAACTGAAACTGCTCACCAGTTCTTTTCAAATGAACTGAAATTGATGACCAGTTCTCTCGTTTATTGGTTCTTTTGAACTGAGCTTTTTAAAGTAAAAACGATAATAAAACGTCTACAGACCATATCAACTGAGCTGTGTAAATAAGAGAAGGACTGCTTAAGAGTAATTAACGTTCAACTCAGCAATAAAACATTTTATACTGTAATCGTTAAGACAAAAATGAACAGAATTAAATTCTTATTCGAGAAAGATTCCTTTTCGCACTAATTTTTTTTTGAAATCTCATTTTTTTGGTTCTTTCGTGTTTTCATGCCAGTTCCAGTTGATTTAAAAAGGACTGGTCATTAGGTTCGGTGCGAGAGGAACAGTGATAAAACGAAAAAGAGGGTTGTTACTGGTTAACTGGATGTTTTATGTCGTTAACTGATGATTAAAAATCAATTGGTTAACAGTCACCGTAAATGAACTATTTCGCAGCCGTTTTCTGAACGTTAGTCCCGACGATTTGGGCATAAATTTAAAAAATTCTTTAAAACATCGGTTAAAAAAACTTAAAAGAGTTAAAAGTTTTTCCTCGATAACTTTTTTATATGAATTCTACGCAATTTTTCACGCTGATTCTAAATTTGACCGTTTTTTCTGAACAAAAAATACTTCTGAATGAGATAAAGTACGAAGGTACTTTTTTTATAATATAAATATAACAATACAACTCTTTATAGCTTTCTATACTTCTTTTCTTTAACCGATCAATGAATATATGAGTGATTGTTCGTTTGTCTGCTCGAAGGTTGGTCAAGCTTAAATTCAATAGTAAATATTGAATAATTTCAGCAAGAGTTCATTTGTTGATTAATATGCCTTCGGAAATGTTGATTATATAAACCGCAGAAAATGTATGTTGTTGTCTTTTAGTTGAATGAATGATTTTTTTTTACAATTCTTTTATAATTTGTTTACGTAACTTTTTTTTGAACTCTCTCTTATGTATACAGCAGTTGTTTAAAATTCTTCCATTTGACGTATTCTTTTTTATATCAAGTTTATATGGTATGTTGGTTTGACTTGTCTTTTCTTGTTTTAAGTGTATTTTTTCTCCTTATTTCAAGGTTTTTCTTGTTTAAACATTGAATTATTTCGTCTGATTATTTATTGTACTTCGCGAGTTGGATATATCGAAATCAATTTTTAACTATATCTTTTCTTGACGATATTTACATTTTCTTTGCTTAAAGGGCTCGTCATCTAACCATATATACTTTAAAAAGAAAATATTTAAATGATTTCTAAAGTAGACACTGCTTTAAAGATTATGTAACACATCTTTTCTGAGGAATGAAAAGATTTCTGTTACAAAAACGTTGTTCTAATTCTTGGAAAAAAAAGCCTGGAATGATTCATATATATCAAACTATTGCTTTCAAATTGCTTATTTAAATTGTTTGTTGAAATTGCTTGTTTTAATCGTAAAAGTTTGTAAGACGTAGGTATAAATTATATTCACAAGTTTTAGTTGAAGAATTTTTGAAAGTTCTCTTTTATTGAAATTGTATTTAGCACTTTTTTTTGTATTATATACATACCATATAATTTCACTTTTCTTTTCTGTTTGGTATTACCTACATATTTCATGAGATTATAGCGTATTAAATTGAGTCTTTTATATGTATATGTATTGTGCGTAATGTTGTCGCACATTACAAGGTTGCAATGTTAAATTTAAGAATAGAGAAAAAAGGAGAGCAATTATCTTAAGAAATACCTGATAAAATGGTTTAACATAGGATAGAATGTATGACTCTTTTTTTTTTCATTATTGACACTAGGCTCTTCTTTCAAAAAGACCTAGCTGAAATATTTGCCCATATTTGTTTAAATACATCCCGACTAAAATGTCTAATATTGAATGACTATTGGGAATAGTTGGACATGAGAATACGCAAGACACTTATGAGAGAGAGTTCGCTCGTTGTGGCCTTTCTTCTTTCCTCGAGTTTTACACCACTATATTTCAATAATGTTATCATTAAGTTTTGAGTATACATGTTGTGAATAGTTTTATCTTCTTGAAACAATTTAAAAGATGATAGATTTGATCTGTTTTACAGTATATTTTATAAGAAAATGATTTAATATATTTTCAAGCATGTATGAACTAGATATTGAAATAACAACGAAAGAAAAGTTCATTTTAGCTGTAAGAGTTACATTACATCTCACAAAGAAAAATGATTACTAATTTCTTGTATGATTTCAATGAAAGCTCAATAATGAAGATAGTTGACTCGTTTGATTTTTCTTTCTTTTAAGATTCTTTACAGAGTTTATTTTTCAATACATCAAACACACAAAAACACATGTAACCTTTTGATGTGTATTATCTCTATTTGATAGAAAGTGCACGTTTATTTGCTCAAGAAAATTACACTATAGTACACTGTAGATTAGTATAGTAAAAATCTCATAGAAGATCAAGTAACTCCAATAAATTTTATATGCAAGTAAAACTAAAATCTAATCAGGTTATCATTTGAGTTACTGTTAGTTACAGTTAGGTTTTACTAGTTAGATTATGTTGTCAGAATTTCTAAAATAA